GTACCATCCTTGCATCCCTGGGATGAATCCCACTTGGTCGTGGTGTATGATCCTTTTGATGTATTTTTGAATTCGGTTTGCTAATATTTTGTTGAGTATTTTTGCATCTATGTTCATCAGGGATATTGGTCTGTAGTTTTCTTTTTTGGTGGGGTCTTTGCCCGGTTTTGGTATTAGAGTGATGCTGGCTTCATAGAATGAGTTTGGGAGTATTCCCTCCTCTTCTACATTTTGGAAAACTTTAAGGAGAATGGGTATTATGTCTTCACTAAATGTTTGATAAAATTCAGCAGTGAATTCAACTGGTATGGTAGTTTTGTTCTTGGGTAGTTTTTTTATTACTGATTCGATTTCATTGCTTGTAATTGGTCTGTTTAGATTTTCTGTTTCTTTCTAAGTCAGTCTTGGAAGGTTATATTTTTCTAGAGAGTTGTCCATTTCTTCTAGGTTATCCAGTTTGTTGGCATATAGATGCATATGTCTTTTTGAATCTGAGAAGTTGTTTTCTTTGGGTAAATTCCTAGGAGTGGAATTCCCGAGTCAAATGGGGTTTCTATTTTTAGTTTTTTGAGGAACCTCCATATTGCTTTCCACAATGATTGAACTAGTTTACATTCCCACCCACAGCTTGGGAGGGTTCCCCTTTCTCCTAATCCCCACCAGCATTTGTTGTTCCTAGTCTTTTCTATGTTGGCCATTCTAACTGGTGTGAGGTGATATCTTACTGTAGTTTTAATTTGCATTTCCCTGATAATTAGTGGTGTGGAGCATCTTTTCATGTGCCTGTTGGCCATCTGAATTTCTTCTTTGGAGAAGGGTCTTTTCATATCCTCCACCCACCCATTTTTTAATTGGGTTATTTGCTTTTTGGGTGTTAAGGCATGTGAGTTCTTTATATATTTTGGATGTTAACCCCTTGTCAGATATGTCATTTACAAATATATTCTCCCATACTGTAGGATGCCTTTTTGTTCTGCTGATGGTGTTCTTTGCTGTACAGAAGCTTTTTAGTTTGATGTAGTCCCATTTGTTCATTTTTGCTTTTATTTCCCTTGCCCGAGGAGATATGTTCAGGAAAAAGTTGCTCATGTTTATATTCAAGAGATTTTTTGCCTATGTTTTCTTCTAAGAGTTTTATGGTTTCATGACTTAATTCAGTTCTTTGATCCATTTTGAGTTTACTTTTGTGTATGGAGTTAGACAATAATCCAGTTTCATCTCTTACATGCTTACATGTAGCTGCCAGTTTTGCCAACACCAGTTGTTGAAGAGGCTGTCATTTCCCCATTGTATATCCATGGCTCCTTTATCATATATTAATTGACCATATATGCTTGGGTTTATAGCTGGGCTTTCTAGTCTGTTCCATTGGTGAAAGAAATTTTAAAAGATCTAAATAAATGAAAATAAATCCATGTTCATGGATAAGAAGATTTAGCTTTGTCAATATGACTGTACTTCCCAAATTTATCTATAAGTTTAGCTGAAGTTCTAGCTAACACTTTTGCAGAAGTTGACAAGCTGCTCCTAAAATTCATGTGGAAATTCAAGGGACTGATAATATCTAAAACAATCTTGAAAAAGAAGGGCAAATTTGGAGCACTCAAACTTCCTGATTTCTAAACTTAGCACAAAGCTACAATAGTTGAGACAGTGGTAACTAACATGAGGATAGACATATCGCTGGATGGGACGGAATTGAGAGTTCAGAAATAAGCCTTCACATTTAGAATAAATCTTCATGAACTTTGGTATGGAGGACCTTAGGCAAAGCCTTCTTAGATACACCAAAAACAAAAGTTTTTGTAAGTGACAAAAGAAACAAAAGATAAATTGGGTTTCATGAAAGTTAAAAATTTTTGTGCTTCAAATGACATTATCAAAAAACTGAGAAGACACACAGAATAGGAAAAAATATTTGCAAAACATGTATTGACAGGGACTTGTATTTAGAATATATGAATAACTGTTGACTATAACAATAATAAAAGACAATGTGAAAATTAAAGAGATGCTTCACTGGCATGGTATGGGGAGGCCTGCAGGGGGAGCTGTCTCTTCCACCACTTCTCATCAACTGCAGACCTCACCTAAGAGAGAGACATCTTGCAACTATTTTGGGTATTTTTCTACTTAGTAGGAGGAGGGAAGAGTTTCTGCCTCCCAGAGCAACAGTCCAGCCAATGAGAGATGGTCACACTGAGCCAACGAGCAGCCACAACACATGTCCCCCACCCCATCCCCGCCAACTCCCAGTTTCCTCCAATGGGCTTTCTGCTTAGAACAGCCCCAACTCCTCCTCTCTCTATAAAAGAGCCGCCTCTTTTCCGTTCTCCAGATTTGCCTGTGGTTTTGCCAAAACTTTCTTGTATGAAATTGCAATTCTCTGCTGTTCCCAAATAAACTTATTTTTGCTAGAAAAGTAAATGATAGTTTTACTTGTAAGGTTAACAAACTCAATTAAAAAATGGGTGAAAAATTGAACATTTCTCTAAAGATATATAAATGACCAATAATCGTATGGAAATATGCTCAACATCATTAGCCATCAGGAAAATTTAAATCAAAACTATAATGAGATACCACTTCACACCCACTAAAACACCTATAATTAAAGAGACATCATAACAAGTGTAAGCTTATGGAGAAATTGGAACATTTACACATTGTTGGCAAGAACATAAGATGGTGCAGCCACTTTAGAAAACAGCCCAGAAATTCCCCAAAAGGTGAACTACAGAGTTACCGAGTGACCCAGCAATTCCACTCCCTGGTGTACACCCAAGAGAAATGAAAACATATGTCCACACGAAAACTTGTGCACAAATGTTCATAGCAGCATTATTCATAATAGTTAAGAAATAGAAATAACCCAAATGTCCATCAACTGTTGAATAGATAAATGAAGTATGCTATATCCATGCAACGGAATATTTATTTGGAATAAAAAGGAATGAAGTACTGATACTACTATGACATGGATAGACCTTGAAAATATGCTAAGTGAAAGAAGCCAGGCACAAAAGGCCACGTGTTGTAGGATCCCACTTATGTGAAATATCCACAACAGGCAAAGATTACTGGTTTCCTTGAGCTGGGAGGGAGGTTGAGGGGAATGGGGAGTGACTGCCTCTGGGCACAGAGTCTTCTTACAGACTGATGAACATGTTCTAGATCTGAGGGTTGCACAACTCTGTGACTAAAAGCCATTTAATTTAAGTGGGTGAACTGTATAGTATACAAATTATATACCAATAAAGCTGGTAACCCCCTCCCTACAGAAACAGTAATAAAGAGAAAAATTTAAGAGCCACTAGAAAGAAACAAAGATAAACTGGCAGAT